ACGTGAAGGCGCCCCCAACGCCAGCGAACTCGTCGCGCACAATCATCGCATAGCACGCGTCGAGGCAGCGCACATTCTGAGACGCGTCTTTGGTGGTGGTTATGGTGGTGGCGGCGGTGGTGGTGTAGGCGGAAGCACCCTAGCCGTGTTCTCGATGAACCTCATAACTGCGCTTTTATGCACTGTACTTGTGTGATTTTGATTTCCACTATTGCCAATTCAAAATGATTAGTCAGCATATGCATGTCAAATGAGGATTTTGCCGTTGATATGAGTATTGTTGATATTGATAATGCTGTCCATTTGTTTAAAACGGGCACGTATTGCTGTGCTTGTCTATTTGTATTAGTGATAATTTTGTTCGATTTGGTCGGCTAAATGATTGCTTTGCAATTTCATGTATTTAATAAAGATAAGAACAGTCATTTTTATGGAATGGACAAGTTCTTTGACGATCAACCGCAGACCTCTGGCCTGCGGTTCCCACAGACGGGATGGTTCAAGGAGGGCAAAACGGTCGATGGAACCTGGAAATTGCGCTATCATTGGTGTGCGGTGCATTTATTAACTCACACAGTATTCACTGTTAGCAAAATGTTTGCTGATTCTCAGGAAATCAATTGCAAAATTATCTCAGGATGAGGACAATATATTTTGTGCCAAAAACGATTTTGTAATTACAATGCTCATTTACACATTTTTGGCGCCAGTGTGATGCCGGTGGGCAACGCAGACGTAAGAGTAAGTGTCCCTTGAGCTCAGCCAGTGCCATCTGCCTATGTTTGCTTTAGTGGTCTTTGGGCAGTGAAATGGTATATAATAGGCACTCAGAAATGTGAAGACAAAACCACGGAGGCTAACTGAAATGTGCATCCTGCTGTAGCTTGTGGCATGCCCAATCCCGGGCCCTGCTTCACCTACCACCTTCGTCCTAAGGCTCACATATTTTGCGCAGGAAAAGCTTATTGCTACACCTATGTTTGCCGATTTTCCGATGACCATCATTGCTGCCATCAAAAAAGTCACTATCTCAATAAATTTAATTTTGCGAGTCTAGTTCTAACCAGGGTTGCGTTGGCTTGTGTTATCGGTTTCATTTTTCAACCATATAAGCCGAAAGGCCTTGATGTCCGTCTAACTATAATAGGATGCAGGACAGTGGATTCGTTTCACGAGGGATCTGGCGATATGCGTCTAACCTGCATACTGTTTGCAATCTTGCATCATGTTTTGATTTCTGGTGCAAGATAAAATAATAGTTGATTCCACTAAGATACTCTGATATATGATGCCTTATAACAACCACGTTTTCCGCGTGGAGGCAAATGTGGTAAATATGGTAGACCTAAATTTAATCGAAACCAAATAAATACATTCTGTTGCAATAATGTTACTGTAACTTTACCACAGGGACCCACATTGTACTTCTGTCCGCTTACTCAGCATAGTATGTGCCTCAGATAACTTTTTTGTTATGTTTTTGACCAACACAACGCACAATTTTAGTGATTTGCTTCTAATGCGATCGATATCAGCCTGACCTTGACGTGGTACTCAAAACGCGAGAAAAGGGTAGTTACATATGAAAAAGGTAGTCTGTCTCTCTGCTAACATCTTAAATCCTAAACAATAGCTTAGTGCAATTAGTGCGTGCTTTCGTGTCTGCTAGTTCCCTGTTTCAGTGTCATTGATTCATCCGTTTGTTTCTACGCTTTGCATTTTCACCTCGATTTGACAGTAAAACTTACAGCTCCATGGATGTTTCGTAGTCTAATTTTATGCCTGTTTAGTTGTGGATAAGAAACATATTATCATAGTTTGTCAAGTTTGCATTTTGAATGCTATTATGTGCAGACAAGTCGGTCACGTTTATTCACACTCGGCTCTTTGGTGTCTTAAGGATCTATTTATTTTGAGCCTCGGTCCTATGTAAGCTGTTTCATTTACTGTTTAAGCTTTAAAATAGTGCCCATATATCACTAACATAGGATACTAAGTATGTGGTCAAACGTCGATGAGGTGTGAGTCTCTGAGTAGCATACATATGCCAAAAATCGACGAATTGCGGACGTATTGTACGCCAAATCTGTCTGCTAGAGTTCTACTTAAAGCGCATGCCGTCCTCACTACTTGCTGTTTCTTAACTCAATCAATGTGCACATTTGTAGAAAATATTACATTTGGAATGTTTTAAGGTTGTCAGCGGCATTATTCCACGCAGCTGTCAACGCCGTACCTGAATTTGTAATCCACTTTCAAATTTTGCTTCTGATTTACTTAGGAGTCAATAGTTATGTAAGCGCTCTTTAGGCTGTCAGCATTCTCACGCATTTATCACTTAAACCTGGACAAACTATTCAGTGTGCGGATGCTGAATGCTACAAACAACTCCATTTCCTAGAATGTGGTAGATTCTTTTGCAATTGCAACTCTTTGGATGGTATTGACTTACAAAGACATTTTTGTCTGATGGCTACAGTGTTAAATGCTGGCGAATGCAATTCTGTTCGCGATTTGCTTGCCACTCGTCACCATCACGGGCAAGTCGGCCAATCGTCTACTGGACATAACAGATGTAGATAGCTACGTGGACATGTGTCAAGAATCGGAGCATCAGAAACAGCGCCCCTCTCCAGAATACGGTCTGACTTCGTGCACTGCGTGGAAAAACAACTCATGCTGTACTGCGGCGACGGCGACATCGATAACAAGTGAAAAGTTGCATGGCTTCAACTTCGAAGTTTGTGGCAAAATGAGCAGTGCTTGTCTTGCATTCTTCCATGATGACCACTGTCTTGTTAAGTGCTCGCCGAACCTCGGGCCATGGTTAGTTCAGGTAAGATATGCAACCTTGTTTTACTATGCTGCATTGTCAAATTTAGTTCCCTGCATCAGTGTTAGTTTTGCTCTAGCTTTCTAGTTCAAGATTCAATGAGCGTGCCTTCAAAGTGCCTCTATGTGAGTCAGATTGCAACAGTTGGTATGACGCTTGCAAAAATGACAAAACTTGTGCTACGAATTGGAACTCCGGTGGTTTCGATTGGGAATCGGGTAGGTAATTCATCTATCTCGAGTCATCATTTTCATTTATTTGGTAAAAGAGTCATTGTTGCGAGATCGTCGATGTATTACAAGCTCAAGATACTGTAAGTAAAGAAGATTGTTAAGTGTCTGGCATTCTGAGGTGATTGTTCTTGTTCTTCCTAATAAGGTGAAAACGCATGCCGTAAGGGCTTCCACTGTCTGAAGATCTCCGAGATCTACCGTTCCGCGGTGTCGTTTTGCGAGCGCGTGTGGGACCA